ATGATGAGTGTTCTGCAGGTTTAGCAGGTTTCACTGTCCGTCTCACAGTGGGTGGATGCCTCAGTTTGATATGCTTCTACATGTTAAAAAGTGGAATTATTCTTTATTATGGGAAAGTTTTGTAAAGTCAGAAAGCCATCTGGCCCAGGTGTCTTACCACTGTTAATGACAGCCTATCTCTTCAATAGTTACACGTCTGTCTAATTCCTGCTTTGTGTCTTCTGTTCGTGTCTGGAACTGAAGTTCAGATGGATCGACTGATACATTCTTCTCACTCTGCATTTCCTTCATTCTCCATAACAAGAGTTTTCTCGCTTTCCCTCCTTGGTCATACTAAGACTGCCACATCCGATTATATGAAGTCCTTGCAAAGCAGATACAGTAAGAAACAGATCTTCATAAAATGTAGGTTGATTTTAATTTGGTCAGTACAAACTCACTAAATTTAAAGTCCTTGAAGAGATGGTTCCCTTACTTGTTTTTGTCCTGTATTATTAAAACAACAGCGCATTATGGTGATGCTGAGTTAACACATATTAGAGTAAAATAGAAAAATAAATGGAGGAAATAAACCCTGGCATGACACGTTACACAAAGCAGCTGTATCTTCCCATTGGGGATGAATCCTCATCTTACCTGGATTATATTGAAACATTCCTCAGCGAACACTTTTCTGATGATGTTGAACTCGGCTCGCTGCTGGACGGAGTTTGTTCCATCGTGCTCAATGTTAAGTTGTTTTGTGGAGCAGAAAACAAACTCCCGATCTTGGAGGTTCAGGAATCAGATAAGGACACCTGTGTTGGTTTGGCTTTAGAGGTGTTAGGGTGCAACTGCTGATCCTCGGCGCCGTCCCGGAGACCAAACAGACGCAGGTTCTTCCTTCGGACGTGGTTCTCCAGGTCGTCAGTCTGATTTTCAGCTTCCTCATCACACCAGGACAGAAACACATGAACATTAGACCAGAGCATTCAGGGAGTGAAAGCAGTATTTCAACCTTTAAGGTGAACTAACGTTTTACCCTCCTCTTCATCGTCTCGTCTCCCTGTTGTCAGAGACAGGACACCTAAATGAACCTCTAAGAGATGATGTCATCAGTGACCAATCAAGAATGAGAATAGATGACTGACACGTGCTACAATAAGTCTTAGTTTCCCTGTCACTGTATTTTAGGAGTGTGAAGCTATAAAGTTATTTAAAAAACTAAGCCGAGCCTGAGAGTCGTGGTTGTGGTGAAGCACAGAGAGCTCTGACGGCCCGGACTCGCCCCTCAGGTGGAGCTCTGCACAGCCACACTGAACCAGCTCACACACTCAGCTACACCTCTTAGTTTCCATCAGCGTGTTGATGTTTGAATCCATCCACCAACACGAACCTGATGTAGTTTACTCTCATTTTGAGTCGATCAGCTGACTCTCAGATCTCAGATCTGGCCCAGGTGTCTTACCACACAGCAAATCCAACATGTCCAAATGAAGACTGTCAGATTTGATTTCAGCTCTTTTAAAGTGTCTTTATAAGTTAATTTAACTCTTATTGGAGAGTTGGTACGTTAACTCTGATTTAGTGTTAAATACCAAATCTGCCTGGAGTTGATCATTTAACACTTATTCATGCTAACTAGGTGTTAAGAGTTTATATACTAACCCCCACAGAGTATTTTAGTTTAACTACATGAGAGTTATCTTCTAATTCATTCTGTGAATTTTACTGTTCTGAATTTCTAGAACTTCCTTGGGATGGCTGTAGCTCAGGTGGCAGAGCAGGTCACTAATCAGAAGGTCGGTGGTTTAATCCCAGGCTGCCTCCTGGCTGCATGCCAAATATCCTTGGGCAAGATACTAACTAATGTTTGCCTACTGGTGGTGGTCAGAGGGCCCGGTGGCGCCAGTGTCCGGCAGCGTCGCCTCTGTCAGCCAGGGCAACTGTGGCTACAATGTAGCTTGTGTGAATGGGTGAATGACTGAATGTAGTAAAGCACTTTGGGGTCCTTAGGGACTGAGTAAAGCGCTATACAAATACAGGCCCATTACCATTTGGAAATAAACATTATTACAAAGAGGACTGCATCAGCTGAGGCAACCACTGAAGTTGCTCAAGAACTTTTACTCCTGCACCATCGAGAGCGTCCTGACGGAAACATCTGCACCTGGTTTGGGAACAGCACCATGCAGGACAGACGAGATCTGCAAAGAGTGGTGCGCTCAGCCGACCGCATCATTCAATCAGAGCTCTCTGACCGCTCCCTTAAGGCGAAAACAGAGAGAATGAGGAGGAGCTTCTTCCCCCAGGCTATTCGGGCCCTGAACCAGGTGTAGGACTGGACTCTCACACACATCACCACACGCACTCTGGTTTTTCTTCATGCACACTTCCTATAATTTATAATCTCTTTCTGCTATCTGCACATTTTTTTACTGTAAATTTCTAAGTTAAATCTGTAAATTTTGTATAACCTGTAAATTAATACTGTAAAACCACTGTCATTTAATGGTCGGGCATTGCACAGCTACAAGCATTTCACCTCATGTCATACTGTGTATGGTTGTGTGTGACAAATAAAATTTGAATTTGAACATGGTGTCCTGTGAGACCTGTACTGTTCTCTCTATGTGCTGAACTCCCTGAGTGAACACAGACAAACAGCCAGCCAAACTCCTTTTTAGAGCCAGGAAGGTGAGCGTACCTTTAATGACTTCAAACATAGCAATCACCATGAACTGACATCATTGAACTGGAGTGAAACAAAAAAACAAACTCTCAATGGTTTGTCATAATCAGCAGCTCCAACCAATGAAAGAGACTGGAAGTGTGACTTTGAGCCACTCTGACCTGTGATTGGTAGAAAGGAGGAATAAGAGCCTGTCCTCCATCTTTACGCTGTTTCTTCTTCTCTCATTCTCTCCCTCCCTCTCCTGTTGCTACTTCAATCATCAAACTGATCAATAATCAGGTAGGGCATTAACAGGGAGAGGGGGGCACGAAGAAATACTTTCTTATTCTCATTTAAAATGTCAACTTTTATTAAATAATTATCTGAATCTTACAACCAAAGTTTTAATCTGATGTCAAATGTATAGAAATCCATTATTGTATATAATAACTGTTAGGTCCCAGTAAGCTGTAGTACTTTTTCCTTTGTGAAGGTTCCACCTGTGCAGTCTGCAGTTCTGTTGAAGAAAGATGTTGAATCTATTTAATTATTGTTGAAAAATAATTGATTTCTGTGCATTTGCATCAAATTAAAGTTGATTACGTCGATTAAGCATCACGAGGTGGAGGGTGGGGGCCCTATTATTCTTTTTTTGCTGGGACGTGCTAACCCTGTTAGCTAGCAGTAATATTAAACAACCTAAGTACTCTTTAAAACACCAGAATATGGAGGATGGTGCAGCTTTAAGTTTATTATATTGGTCAGTATTGATGAACTATGAAATGTTTTGGCTGCAGTGTATTTCCTGCATACAGGTCTAACAGAATAGCTTTAGTGTTTTGAGTTTGAACTTATACAAAATGCAGCAATATATAAAAAAAACAGTTTTATTGATTATGAAATACACTCTATTGGAGTCATGTTGGTATGGGCAGAAATCCAAATGTAGGATATGGTATGGGACATAAAACACGGTGCCCTCTCTAGACTCCATAGTCCCACAGGAGCTCCTCTCCAACCGCGATGTCCTTCAGGGCGATGAACAGCACACTCTCCCGAGGACCAGCAGGGAAGTTCATTGTGAACCTTTGTGGCTTCACGTTTGGACTCCTTTGGCAATGGTTCATGTGCCTTCCATAGGAGTCCT